TTTGCTTACTGTTCTCTTGTTTATTTTTTTTTTTTTTCTTCTATCGGGTGGCCCATACAGGGATATGAACCTGTGACTTTAATGTTACCAGCTGCATGCTCTCCCAAGTAAACTAGCTAACCAACCTTGCTTTGTGTTCTAATGCAGCTGGTCTTCCGTCACCCTGTTTTCTCTGATGCTCTCAAAAGCTTTTTCCATTCTTCTGGTGGATGACTGTTAAATTGTGAATCTAGTATGTAACTGATTTGTAGTTACAAAACCACATTATTTACACCCTGTGTTTACAAAGTGCAGTGTTCACTCATGCAGACACAAGCGATCCTTTAAAATGTGCAAAGGAAATTTTGGAATGCCTTTGAATATGCTTTCAGTTTATAAGTAATTAAGAGACAGCAATTGTATATAATGTTTTACTGTTTGAAATAGACAAATATTTAAATGCAGGATCATTCCATAATGTGTTTCTTTAATTGTGTATTTTTTATCTCTGCTCATGAGCATTCATCTAGACATGGTGCCGTGTGTGGTTCCATTAACATAGGGTGTCTTCCTTTGCTCTTGTGACTGAAGTTTTGCTGTTGCCTCATATTCATGAGAACATGTAGTTCACGTGGAAGAGCTTAACATCTTTGGCATTTCAGTGAAGTGCAAACAGAATACAACGTAGAATTATATTTTGTCTTTCTTACCCCATTCTCTATTGAACTTGTCTCTAAATTTGTTTATCAAACACACTGGTTCAGGTTATACTTATGTCTTCATACCTGATTATAAACTTCTTGGAGAAGCAACATTTTATTCATACTTTTATCACTAGCAACAATGATGGTTCTTAACTATAAGATAAGGTTTGTAATCATATTTTTAGTAATTAATATATTATTGCAGTGACAGGATATTCCTGCTGGGTTTTTTTCCCCTCCACTATATGGAGTACAGAAAAGCAGCACCTTATTTAACACATAAGACACTCACACTTGCAGAAGAGTGAACTTTGAGATTCGTATTTTGTGACCCAGGGCTGGTTGCTTGAGTTGAGATCAATGTGCCATTACAGGAGTTGGTGTCATTTGAGGATGTGGCTGTGGACTTCACCTGGGAGGAGTGGCAGGAATTGAATGATGCTCAGAGGACTTTGTACAGGGATGTGATGCTGGAGACCTACAGCAGCCTGGTGTCTTTGGGTGAGTGAAA